CATACCATGCTGGTCATAGGAGCAAAAGCTACACAGCCTGTACTGGAGAGTGGTGGAGGAGTCCTGTGAGCTACTCCTAGTAGGAAAACCCAGTGATTCCCCAGTGTCCCAGTCTCTGTTGTGCATGGTGGGGTGCACTGAGCGACAACCTGGCCCAAGGCAGCACAGCCGTGGTGGCCTCCGCATTGTCACTGCAGACTCCAGGGTGGCTCCCACACCCCAGAGTCCCAGGGAGGTGGCAGAGGTCTGCCGTGGCAGCCTGTAGCGGTGGAGAGGCAGGGGCTTGTCTTGCCTTGATCAGGTAGACTCCAGTTCTGCACTGGGCTCCAGGGAGCCAAAAGCTGTTTTGCCTCATAATGCAGATGCAATCAAACTGTGCACGCTCTCTGTAGGACTGAGAGTGTGTGGACGATATAGAGACAGGAGGAAAGCAACCTGCTCTACGATGAGTGAATATGACTGTAAATCTCCCTCCCACACAGTAACACGGATGTGGTTTCATGGACTTACAAGGGGCCTGTTACTTTTGCATTAAGTCAGTTTAAATGGCAAGCCAACAGTCTGGCATTGCTGTTGCTGTAACAGTAGGTTTATCAGCTTTCAGCTGGCGCTTGCTAGGTGCAGGGAACTATCTTCATCTCCATTTCTCCCACATCCATACCTAGTCATGACCGTTTGAATTTTTTTGCTAAATAGCACTTGCCTTGAGAAAAGGCTCACTGTTCAGTCCCGATTTTTGCCGGACCAGTTCTTGCCCATGTTATTGTGATGTGCATTGGAGCAAATCTTGGTAATGTGTGTGTATAGGTGTATATATAAATAGTGTGAAAAAGTGTACGAACAAGAATAGAATTTTTAACCGAAACAACCTATGAACTGTACCTCGTTGTCAGGAAATGAAATGACATTGAAATCTAAATTGCATCCAGAAATACTGAGTTTAGGATGTAAGTTAAAGTGGGATTTAGCCCACAACACCTTAGCCCACAACACAGGCTCAGTTCTTTATAGCACGTAGACCTATGTTGCTGACTACTGTAACAATTGGTTCAGATCCACTGCAATCAGTAGTGTTGCAATTAAGCTTGTGCATAAATCATTGTGGGGTCAGAGTGTCTGCTTGTGTGCGATCCCAAGTGGGATACTTCTGTGTCACCCATTTGTTATGTAACAGTAATGCTGCTTAGTTGAACTCATGCTCTTCTCTCCACAGTGCAACGTGTGTTCAGCAGAGCCTGCTCTAGCCTAAGAATTGACTAAAAGTCAAGACAATCAAGATGACTAACGAACCTATTAAAGAGATCCTGGGCGCTCCAAAGCATCCTGATTCTGTAACCACGGAGAAGAGTAATAACAATGACTGTGTGATAACCACCATCCCTCTTGTCAGTGAATGCCAGCTGACTGCAGCCACAGGGGGAGCAGAACTCTCCTGTTACCGCTGTACCATTCCCTTCGGTGTGGTTATCCTCATAGCCGGCATTGTGGTTACTGCTGTAGCATACAGCTTCAATTCCCATGGATCAATCATCTCAGTGTTCGGCTTAGTCCTCTTGTCATCAGGACTCCTTTTGCTGGCTTCTAGTGCAGTCTGCTGGAAAATCAGGCAGCAAAACAAGAAAGCAAAGAGGCGGGAGAGCCAGACAGCGCTTGTGGCAAATCAGCGAACCTTGTTTGGTTAAAGACAACCAAGAGAAGGCCAGACAGAAGACAGAACTTTTGTAAGTCAACTTGACTATTTATCAGTAGGAGAGATTGCAGATTTTAATTTAACTTTGGAAATGAACTGAAATGAAAATGGAATGGATTAAGAAAGACTCTTACAAACTCTGCAAGTGCTCTTAATATTTTTCTTACTGCAGACTTGGTAATGATTCTCTCCAAGACGGAGGAAAAAACACTTTTCCTTCACAGAAAGCAGTATTGTCATAACTGCAATCATCATAACTGCGTTCTCCAACATGCTGATCATGTTGGAAAGGGAACTTGTGAGAACTAAGAAAATAATTTGAACTGACTTGAAATGCCAGAGATCTCCTTAAAATACACACTGTGACATTTGACCAAGGGAGAAGTCATAGCATTTAAGTGACTACAAGCTTATGGCCAGATTGTCTGTGACTTGAACTGTAGCTCAAAAAAAAAAAATCCAAAACAAAGCAATAACAAACAAACAAACTACAGATTGCTCAATAAGCTGTTTGTTATATTTTATGTAACTTCCCCCTCCCCCAATATCTGTGGTACTTTCCCCCTTTTAAACAAACTAATATTAATTTTGTTTTGCTATTGAATAGAAATAGGTAAAAATGTGTAATTACATTGTCTAACCTAAATAACGAGGTATGATTATAGCTTAAAACATGAGACTTTTTTTTGTAAATTGAAGTGGTCAGGTTTAGCACTTTTGATTACTTTGCTATAAAATTAAAAAGTAAATTTCATTAAAATAATATGCAGTGCTGCTAGACCTTTAGAAGATCTTTTTTTATTGCTATCAAGATGGCTTGTATCTTCAACTTTGACTGCTTTTTGTAGAAAAACACCGGTGACAATTACTGTCAACATATGTACTGCTGATCTCTTCCAAAAATCTCTATAGACTATGGATTTTGGTTTGATAGCCCATTCCTCTTGCAGCTTGATTAACAACTCAGTTATTGAAAAATCGTACCAGTAAGTTCTGCAGACACTTACTGGCATAGTCAGTTTTAGACACAACTATTAATAATTACTTATGGAAGCAAAATCATCTGTGTAGTGTGTGTTTTCTGAATGAGCTTCCTAGGAATCTCTAGGAAAAGCAGGTCTCAGATGTCCCCCAAGTGTGTCTGAGATGTTTATTCTGTAACTCTTGTGTTCCAGAGGTCTTCCAACTTTTCTCAGGTAATGTGCAATTGAGGGGCTGGTCCCAAACTGCAGAAAACAGCACATTTCTTCATCTATATCATGAAGGACAAGTAGTGCTGAGCCAAGTCACAGACTTCCACCCCAGTGTATATGAGGTATCAGAAGGCAGAGGGGCCTTTTTTTTCTATCTTTTTTTTTTTTTCTTCTTTCTTTCTCCAGACTCAAAAGGGCTGGATGTAATTTTTGCTTTCCACTGCTACAGCGAGCGAGGCCTGGGCTAGCGTGCCTCCTCTTTGCCCTCCAGAGCCTCTGGCATCCACGACGGCTGTGGTGATGCCAGTGCAGAGCATACCTGTCGAACAGGTGCCTCAGGGGGTAGCCTTCTGCAGGTCATCCTGGAGCCGTATGCTTCTCC